AAAAATTAGCCAGGTGTGGTGGTGGGCGCCTATGGTCCCAGCTACTTGGGAGGCTAAGGCAGGAGAATTGCTTGAACCTGGGAGGCAGAGGCTGTAGCGAGCTGATATCGCAACACTGCACTCCAGCCTGGGCAACAGAGCAAAACTCTGTCTCAAAAAAGAGAAGAAACTCAAGACAATGCTCCTTTTCCAGTGCCATGTACTTGCTGTGTGCAGAGCCATGGCTATAAGACCAGCGCCTCATCTGCTCCCACAGCTGGAGGAAAGCAGCCCTGGGCCAACCAAGGGCTAGGCCACTCAGGGCCCCTACTCAGAAAGTGCAAGCTCGGTGAGAATGGCCTGGCCTCCCACACTGCCGCTCCAAGCTGTGCTTAGTCCCAGCTGCGCCAGGAGACGGTCCTGTCAGCAGGGGGCGCTCAGGTCCCACCTCCATCCAGGGACTAATGTAAGCAAAAAAGCCTCCCAGAACCAGGCACAGAACAAGGGCTGGTCCTGCTGTGTAGGAGATGGCATTGAGGCCCCTCCATCCAGAGACAAGAGAGCTGTTGAGGTGCCTGTATGTGGCAGGTGGATTATCCTACCCCATCCGGGCTCCAGATCCAATGCAGGCTCACCCCTCCTCGGCCAATGCTTCCACCCGGCACAGCTGCAGCATTCTGAGCCCCACTGCAGGCAACAGGCTGAGGCAGCTTCTCCCTGGCCCTCCAGCCAGGCCCCATCCCTTCAGCCTCAGACACAAAGTCCAGCTTGTGTGAAAAGAAAGGAGCCACCTAGGAGGCAGAGGACAACTTCCTACTGCTCAGAGAAACAGCTATGGCAGGAACTGAACCCATTACAGTATCTGGGCCTTGGGCCCCACAGGGTTCCCTAGACATCACGCAGAAAGGCCAAACAAGACCACACTAAGGCAGGACAGTCGGGTCCCCTCTCAGCTCTGTCAACATCAATCAGGAAACAGCCTGCGGAAGAGGAGTTGGGAAAACGTGTGTTCTGACACCCAGGGCCTGAGGCCAACCATAGCCCTCAGCTCTCACCTGACATCTTTGCCCACTGTTCCAGGCACAGGCGTCCTGGCAGCCTCAGCTCCACAAGGGGACACTGAACCTGTGTCTGTTCAGAAATCAATCAAGTCACCCCAGCAAAGAAGATGCAAAGGAGAGGTAAAGCCACGTCTTCCTCGAGGGTGCGACCCAGCAGGTCTGAGTGTTCCTTCCAGACACCAGTGATCAGGACTCCAGCTCGGCACAGTGTTTCAAAACATCATCCCTGCTGAGGTACTTCCTGCCCCTCACACACCAGGAGGAAGGATCACTGAGGAAGGACTCCTGGGGACAGAGGAATGGCAGATTCCACAAGTCAAACAGAGGAAAAAGGGAAGCTGGCCGCTAGAACAAAGGCCAGTTAGTCCGTAGCCATGTACGGAGGGTGCTGGAATGAAAGGGGCCCTAGAGTTGACATTTAAAAAGCAAGCAGCAGCCAGGCCCGGTGGCTCAAGCCTGTAATCTCAGCACTTTGGGCGCCCAAGGCAGGTGGATCATAAGGTCAGGAGATTGAGACCATCCTGGTCAACACAGTGAAACCCCGTCTTTACTAAAATACAAAAACTCATCTGGGTATGGTGGCACATGCCTGTAGTCCCAGATACTCAGGAGGCTGGGGCAGTAGAACCACTTGAACCGGGAGGAGGAGGTCGCAGTGAGCTGAGATCCAGCCACTGTACTCCAGCCTGGCAACAGAGTGAGACTCCAACTCAAAAAGAAAAAAAAAAAAATTAGCTGGTGTGGTGTCACACGCCTATAGTCCTAACTACTCGGGAGACTGAGACAGGAGAATTGCTTGAAGCCGCGAGGCAGAGGTTGCAGTGAGCCGAGGTCACACCACTGCACTCCAGCCTGGACAACAGAGCAAGACTCAGTCTCAAAAAAAAGCAAAATTCTGCAAAGTCCCTACCCCCAATTAGGAAGGGCACCAGCAACCTAAGAAATGGAGTCCCCCAAAAAGGAAGACCAGGGAAGGCTGGAAGGCTGGCCCCTTAGAGGAAAGGCTGAAGATCCAGCCCTGATGGGACAGATACAGAGACAGACACACACACACACACACACACACACACACACCCCCACTGGGCTTTTGCACAAACAAGGGAGCTGGAGTGGATGAGCCACAAAAGCTGCCCAATGACAACAGGCTTTGTCTTCCCAGGAAGCCAGGCACCATTTAAAGGCACAGAAGCACACGAGGAGTCCGGCTGAGGCACACACAACACAGGGCAGCCAGCTGGGTGCTCTTCCCCACACCCCTACCAGTGCCAGTGGAGGCATGAGCTCAGCCAGGAGGGAAGGCACCATGAATTTCTGAAGTAAGGTTTAAATAGATTTTATTGTTACAACGGGGACCCCACCAAGCAGGGTCAGTATTTGTGGTCCCAGGAGGTCACCATGGAGACATCGAGAGGTCATGATTGCGTAAGAGGTGACTGGAATTGAACGATATGATCCAGGGGAGGCCGGCCAAGAATGCAGGAACGTGACCAGGATGGGCTGGTGGGCTGGTCAGGTCACGGTGTAAGGGCCAGAACGGCCCCCTTCACCCCCGCTTCTTGTAGCTCTCCAGGTGTGACAGGATCCAGCCTGCAGGCCCGAGGAAGGTCACCATGCAGGAGGTAAACCCAATGGCCAATTCCTACACAGAGCACAAGAAAGAAGGCACCTCAGAGTCAGGATTCTCCTCAGCTCTCCTAAGTCCTAGCAGTTCCCAGGCAGCAGAAAGCGCCCCTCGGGGAGCCAGGACTCAGAGGCAAATGGGACCCGGCATCCTCACATTAAAGGAATCCACACTCCAGGGAGCAGACAGCGCAGATCCAAGGCCACGCTAACCCTTGAGCCCTTGAGGTAAAGGATCAGTTAAAAGGAGGGGGAGGATTGAGAGGAAGGAGAGACAGCCAAGGTTAGGGTCCAGCGAGAAATCCACCACCAGATCATACAGGAAAGGACAGGAAGCAGGATTTATTGAAACCTGTTTTATAAATGGAATTGGGCAGAAGAAAAAAGAAAAAAAATATATACAAAACAAACAAAAAAGAAACCTGTTTTAAAGCTGGTCTGGGCCAGGCACAGTGGCTCATGCCTGTAATCCAAGCATTTTTTTTTTTTTTTTTTTTTTTTTTTTTTTTTTTTTTTTTTTTTTTTTTTTTTTTTCGCTCGTTACCCAGGCTGGAGTGCAATGGCACGATCTCGGCTCACCGCAACCTCCGCCTCCTGGGTTCAGGCAATTCTCCTGTCTCAGCTTCCTGAGTAGCTGGGATTACAGGCGCGCGCCACCATGCCCAGCTAATGTTTTGTATTTTTAGTAGAGACGGGGTTTCACCGTGTTGACCAGGATGGTCTCGATCTCTTGACCTCGTGATCCACCCGCCTCGGCCTCCCAAAGTGCTGGGATTACAGGCTTGAGCCACCGCGCCCGGCCTAATCCAAGCATTTTGGGAAGTGGATCACGAGTTCAGGAGTTAGAGACCAGCCTGGCCAACATGGTGAAACCCCATCTCTACTAAAATACAAAAATTAGCCAGACATGGTGGTGGGCACCTATAATCCCAGCTACTGGGGAAGCTGAGGCAGGAGAATCGCCTGAACCCAGGAGGTAGAGGTTGCAGTGAGCCAAAATTGCGCCACTGCACTCCAGCCTGGGTAACAGATCTGCACTCCATCTCAAACAAAAACAAAAACAAAGCTGGTCTGTTGAGACCCATGATCCTTGCATGGGCCAGTTAACTCTAAAACTATACCTATCCTTCCTTGTCTTAAAATCCCCTCCCTTCCAGTTGGGTGTGGTGGCTCACGCCTGTATCCAAGCACTTTGGAGGCCAAGATGGGCGGATCACCTGAGATCAAGAGTTCAAGACCAGCCTGACCAACATGGTGAAACCCCATCTTTATAAAAAGTAAAAAATTAAAAAAAAAAAAACCCTCCCTTCCCACCTCCTCTCCAAGACTGTTACTCAACCTTGGAGGCTAGGGGTAAAAGACCTTTTCAGCCACTGCCATCGTCTCAAAAGTAGTTAGGTCCACAGAACAACTTGGAGTCAGCCTTGAGTTCAAATTCCATCTTTGGGGCAGGGTGGCTCACATCTGTAATCCCAGCACTTTAGGAGGTTGAGGCAGGAGATCGCTTGAGTTCAGGAGCTCAAGACCAGCCTGGGCCACGTAGTGAGATCCTGTCTCAACAAAACATCAAAAAACTAGCCTGGTGTGGGGGCACATCCCTGTAGTCCCAGCTGCTTGGGAGGCTGAGGTGGGAGGATTGCTTGAGCCCAGGAAGTCGAGGCTGCAGTGAGCCGTGATCGCACCCGCAGTACTCCAGCTTGGGTGATAAAATCCTTCTTTGCCACTCAAGGTGTGACTTTTTTTTTTTTTGAGACAGAGTCTCCCTCTATTGCCCAGGCTGGAGTGCAGTGGTGCAGTCTCAGCTCACCGCAACCTCCACCTTCTGGGTTCAAGCAATTCTCCTGTCTCAGCTTCCCGAGTAGCTGGGACTATAGTCACATGCCACCACGCACGGCTAGTTTTAGGTTTATTTAGTAGAGACGGGGTTTCACCACATTGGCCAGCCTGGTCTCAAACTCTCGACCTCATGATCTACCCACCTCAGCCTCCCAAAGTGCGGGGATTTCAAGTGTGAGCCACCATGCCTGACTGAAGGTGACTTCTGACAAGTCAACACACTGCTCCTATGTTTCAGCACCTTCAAACACAAAATGCGGTTGAGCTCAGTGGCTCACACCTATAATCCCAGCACTTTGGGAGGCTGAGGAGGGTGGATCACGAGGTCAAGAGATCGAGACCATCCTGGTCAACATGGTGAAACCCTGACTCTACTTAATACAAAAATTAGCTGGGCATGGTGGTGCGTGCCTGTAATCCCAGCTACTTGGGAGGCTGAGGCAGGAGAATCGCTTGAACCCAGGAGGCGGAGGTTGCGGTGAGCGGAGATCACACCATTGCACTCCAGCCTAGGTAACAAGAGTGAAACCCCGTCTCAAAAAAAAAAAAAAAAAAAAAAAACACAAAATGCAAATAAATCATGCTTTCTTCTCAGGGTCACTGGAAGGACTGAATCAGACCAGCACAGCGTCTGGCACACAGCAAGCACCTGGCATCACCCGCCGTATGGGTACAGTTTCTATCAGAGAAGACGTGGCGTGTTCCGGGTGCTATGGCCATACACTCCTTATCATCACTGATGTTTCCTTAGCTGCAGTGCCCTCCTGGCCCTGCTCCTCACACTCAAGGTCCACTAACCTGGACTCTGAGGGCTGGCATTCAATGCTCGGCTCCACTGCCTGAGACAAAGGCACAGAAGCTGAAACAGGTGAAAGATGCCCTAAAGAGCTAAACGCTTCCACATTTCTGGGAATTCGAAAGCCTGTTGGGGTCTTCTTTCCCCGTCTCTAATAATAATAAACAGCAGTGCTGGGCGCGGTGGCTCACACCTGTAATCCCAAGCACTATGGGAGGTCGAGACGGGAGAATCACTTGGAAGTCATCAGTTCGAGACCAGCCTGGCCGACATGGTGAAACCTCGTCTCTACTAAAAATAAAAAATTAATTGGCCGCGGTGGCACGGGCCTGTAGTCCCAGCTACTCGGGAGGCTGAGGCAGGAGAATCGCTTGAACCCGGGAGGCGGAGGTTGCAGTGAGCCGAGACGGCGCCATTGCTCTCCAGCCAAGAAGCAGAGCAAGGCTGTCTCAAAAAACGTAAATTAAATGGCAGTAACAACCATTATCGTCGCTGACGGTCGTCAGGCATCCCCCAGTAAACCGATGAGAAAATGGGCTCAGAGAGGGCTAAAGAAGTCTGCTCGAGGCGGCGCAGCGAGAAAGCGACAGGGGAGGGAGGACCTGACAGCGCCTGACTCGAGATGGTGAGGTTCTGGGGAAAGACCTAACGCCGACAGCCCCTACTGTCACCCGGGTACTGTCCCCGTCGTGCGCGCCCTTCGACACGCCCAAACCCGCAATGCTGCTCCCCGTTACGCGGCGGGCCGCGGGGTGCGGGGCACTCTCGGGGCCGCCTGAGCTCAGCGCGGCAGAAGGGGCCAGCCCACGGCGCCTCCCGTGCTCTTCCCCGACCGTTCCTCACCAGGACCCCAAGCTTCTGCTCCGGCGGCATCGAATGGACCTGGGCGCGCGGCACCAGAAGCCGCCGGGCCGAGCCTGTCAGGCCCCGCAGCAGCAGCGGTGTCAGGACAGACATGATGGTACGGAGTACACCACAGACAGCCGCCCACCAGAGCCCAAGGTCAGGAAGTCAAAATGGCTGCGCCGGCCGGAAGTTCCGGAGCTGGGGAGGCCGGGAAACAACGGCCCGGAAGTCTCGGCAATAACGCAAGAACACATCTCCCACCACCCTTGGTAGTTTTTGGAGCGTTGCTCGAAACAGCCAATTGACACCTTCCTTCCGCTATGGGCGGAGCACAAAGGGGCGTTTCTTTTGGTTATGTTCCGCCTCCAAAGCCTATATTTGTGAATGACATCTGGAGCCACCCAATGATGTACTGGAGAAGCCTAAACTGTTCTTGACTCCTCCCTCCATTCATACTCTTAGATCGCTATTCCGGCCGGACACGGTGGCTCATCCCTGTAATCTCAGCACTTTGGGAGGCCGAGGCGGGTGGATCACCTGAGGTTGAGAATTCGAGACCAGCATGGCCAACGTGACGAACCCCACATCTCTACGAAAAATACAAAAATTAGCTGGGTGTGGTGGAGGGCGTCTGTAATTCCAGGTACTCAGGAGGCTGAGGCCGGAGAATTGCTTGAACCCACGAGGTGGAGGTTGCAGTGAGCTGAGATTTCACCATTGCACTCCAGCCTGGGCGACAGAGCGAGACTCCGTCTAAAAAAAAAAAAAAAAAAAAAGTTCAAGACCAGCCTGGCCAACATGTTGAAACCCGTCTCTACTAAGAATACAAAAATTAGCCAAACATGGTGGCAGGCACCTGTAATCTCAGCTATTCAGGAGGCTGAGCCAGGAGAACTGCTTGAACCTCGGAGGCAGAGGTTGCAGTAAGCCAAGATTGTGTCATTGCACTCTGGCCTGGGCAACAAAGCAATACTCCCTCTGGGGAAAAAAAAATAATTATCCAGGCATGGTGGTGGGTGCCTGTAATCCCAGCTACTCGGGATGCTGAGGCAGGGGAATCGCTTGAACCCAGGGTGGCAGAGGTTGCAGTGAACCAAGACTGTGCCACTGCACTCCAGCCTGGGTGACAGAGCGAGACTCCATCTCAAAAAAAAAAGAAAAAAAAACCTCTCTATTGAGAGTTCCTTCCTTTCTGTCAGGCCTCCTTCATTTCTGGACAGAATTCCTGACACCGACATAGTAACCAAACTCCCCTAGATTACTATTACACTCTTCAATTCCAATTACCATGCTGGGGCAGCCAACTTCCCTTCCTTCCTACCCTATCTCTATCTCTCCCTCCCAACCCTTCTTTCTTTGTTTTTTAAACCTAAATCTGACCAAGTCATATACTTTCAGTGGCTCCCCATTGCTTCCTAGGCAAAATCCCAATTCCTGGATGTCACTGTCCAGCCTCAACTCTCAAAACTCTGCAATATTCCACACCTTTGACCCTGCTCTCATTTCCACCACCAAGTGTTTTGCTTCTGCATTTTGTTATTGTTGATGTTGTTGTTGAGAAAAGGTCTAAGTCTATTGCCCAGGCTGGACAATGTGGTGTGATCTCAGCTGACAGCACTCTTGCAACCTCCACCTCCCAGGCTCAAGACATTGTCCCACTTCAGCCTCCCAAGTAGCTGGGACTACAGGCGCCCACCACCATACCTGGCTAATTTTTTTTTTTTTTTTTTGGATACAGAGTCCCGCACTGTTGCAAAGGCTGGAGTGCAGTGGCTTGACTCACTGCAACCTCTGCCTCCCAGTTTCAAGAAATTCTTCTGCCTCAGCCTCCAGAGTAGCTGGGATTACAGGTGCCTGCCACCACGCCCAGCTATTTTTTTTTTTTTTTTTTTTTTTTTGGAGATGGAGTTTTGCTCTTATTGCCCAGGCTGGAGTGCAATGGCACGATCTCGGCTCACCACAACCTCCACCTCCCAGGTTCAAGTGATTCTCCTGCCTCAGCTTCCCGAGTAGCTTGGACTATAGGCATGCACCACCATGCTTGGCTAATTTTTTGTATGTTTAGAATAGATGGAGTTTCACCACATTTGTTAGGCTGGTCTTGAACTCCTAAACTCATGATCCGCCCACCGCAGCCTCCCAAAGTGCTGGGATTACAGGTGTGAGCCACGGCACCCAGCCTAATTTTTGAATTTTTAATAGAGATAAGAGTTTTACCATGTTGGCCAGGCTGGTCTCAAACCCCTGATCTCAGGTGATTCACCCGCCTCAGCTTCCCAAAGTGCTGGGATTACAGGACTTGTGCCACTGTACTTGACCTTGCCTCTGCTTAAGTTTTTTGTTTTGTTTTGTTTTGTTTTGAGACAGGAATCTCGGCTCACTGCAAACTCCATCTCCCGGGTTCAACCGATTCTCCTGCCTCACCCTCCCAAGTAGCTGGGATTACAGGTGTGAACCACCACACCTGGCTAATTTTTGCCTTTTTAATAGCAACAGGTTTCGCCATGTTGGCCAGGCTGATCTTGAACTCCTGGCCTCATGTGATCTGCCCGCCTTGGCCTCCCAAACTGTTGGGATTACAGGCGTGAGCCACCACATCCAGCGTTGCTTCTGCATTTTATGTTCATTTTTTCCCAACTCCTACCCAGCCTGGCTTTTTCACCATGCTAATTCCTGCTTCCTGGCTTCCAGTTAATGATACAACTTACTTTATTCAACAGATATTTGTTAGCCTTTACTGTGTGTCAGAAGCTATTGTAGACACCAGTATAAACAACATGGATAAGGTTTCTTGTCACAGAGCTGACATTCTGGATGGAAAAGCAGGCACTTAATTGGAAACCATCATATAAGTGTCATGGTGAAAATAAAACCATGATGGGCTAGGAAGATACGTGGGGTGGCACCCTCAGAATGCCTTCACTGGCCACCCTGGGCCTGTGTCTCCTTTGTGCCCAGTGACACCTGTGACAGCTCTGCCCCACAAGGTGGACTGTTGAGAAACATTAAGTTTACCCTGCCACCGTGGCTCCATTGTGGAGAATACCTTTTAGTTTGCAATTTGTGGTAAGTGGGTAACAGCTGCCTACTTGGAATTTTTTGAGTTATGAGTAAATACAGAACACCTGTTTATTAATAATAGTCACCTATTGAGAGAGAATAACTATGTGGATCAGAATCTACTCAGGGCCTTCAGCCTGGAACGCTGTCAGCCCCTGAGGCTCTCAGCTCAGTAGGCTGCTAGCCCCCCAATAGACCCACTTTGCTGTTCTATCTGGGTGTCTGCCTCTCATTACCTTCAGCGCTGCCTGGGTGGGGATCTCCTGGCTGAGCTGGTACTTGGTAGTGTGTCTCCATCAAGACTCAGGGCCACCTGAGGGCAGAGCCTGTGTTAGTTCACCACTGTTTCCAACCAGACACTCAGAATGTTTATGAGCTGCAGGAGGCTTAACAGCATTCAACCGGGTAGAAGGCACACCAGGAAAGGGAGTGTGGGGCCAGCCACTGGGCCAGGACTTCATGGTGCAATCTCATTCCAGGTTTACAATAATATCATGAAAGATATGCTATTATTATTTCATTATTATCATATAATTTTCCTGAGACAGTTTCACTCTTGTTGCCCAGGCTGGAGTGCAATGGCACTACCTCGGCTTACCATAACCTTCGCCTCCTAGGTTCAAGCGATTCTCCTGCTTCAGCCTCCCAAGTAGCTGGGATTACAGGCCTGTGCCACCACGCCCTGCCGATTTTGTATTTTTTCAGTAGAGACGGGGTTTCGCCACGTTGGTCAGGCTGGTTTTGAACTCCCGACCTCAGGCGATCCACCCTCCTTGGCCTCCCAAAGTGTTAGGATTACAGGCACGAGTCACCATGCCTGGGCTATTTCATTATTTTGAGACAGTGTCTTGCTCTGTTGCCTAGGCTGGAGTGCAGTGTCACGACCACAGCTCACTGCAGCCTCGACCTCCCAGGCTCAAGTGATCCTCTTGCCTCAGTAGTTGGGACTGCAGGCATATACCACCATACCTGGCTAACTATTTTTTGTAGAGACAAGGTCCTACTATGTTGCCCAGGCTGGTTTTGAACTCTTGGGCTCAAGCAATCCTCCCACCATGGCCTCCTAGAATGCTGGGATCACAGGCAAGAGCCACTGCGCCTGGCCTATTTCAAACTTTTTACAAATGAGGAAATAGGCTTGAAGAGTTGGGGACTTGCTCGAGATCATGAAGCTACAAGGCTGCCTCTCCAGGATTCCAGGGCGGGTCTATCACCTCCAAAGCCCATGCTTTTAGCCACCACACATGCTGCTGCAGAGACGGAGTTTCCAGAAGTTCCAGTTTTGACAGTGAGGTCAATAACATCAAAGCCTGTAGTGATGGGGTAGCAAGAGACTGAGAAACTGGAGCTTTGAGAGGAAACCTCAGCCCATGGGTGGGGAAGTGTCACAGCAAGGTGGCAATGAACTCGGGGTGCCCTAGAAGGGGAGCTGTGTCTGACCTTCCTCTGGACGGATGTGTTCCCAGGCCCCACGCTCATCCCTCTTCATCTCTCCCTCACCTTCCTCACTCTATTTTTATGGGTTTTGTTTTGTTTTGTTTTCTTGACAGAGTCGTTCTGTAGCCCAGACTGGTGTGCTGTGGTGCAATCTCAGTTCACTGCAAACTCTGCCTCCTGGGTTCAAATGATTCTCCTCCCTCAGCCTCCTGAGTACCTGGGATTACAGGTATGCACCACCAGACCTGGCTAATTTTTTCATTTTTAGTAGAGACAGGGTTTCACCATGTTGGCCAGGCTGGTCTCAAACTCCTGACCTCATGTGATCCACATGCCTCAGCCTCCCAAAATACTGTGATTATGGGCGTGAGCCACTGTGCCCGGCTCCCTTCTTAGCAGTCTCAGCCCAAGCCCACCCATAACCACCATGCCTCTGTTCTTGCCCTGCCCTGAGTCCTAGCCAACAGCCCTGGACAGATGCTTCTAAACTCCCTCCCGGTCCTAGGGGCACAGGGTTAAGAGACCCAGGCCCCAACTGGCTGCCACTGGGAGAAGGAAGGGGCAAGGACCTCCCTGCTCCCCTCCTGGGCTTGTCGGGCACTGGGAAACAAAGGAATAACTCCCAAATCAGTACAGTCAGGTGTAGGCAAGAGAAAAATGGCTTCCCTCCACCACTCTAGGTATTTGGCTGGACTATGAACTAAATTGACTTAACAGGTCAACAGGTGAAAACACAGTTCTACTTACATGCATACTATGATGG